TCAGGGGCTGCCACAAAAAAGAGGGAGTCAAGCTATTCTCCAAAGCGCCTGAAGACAGGACAAGAAGCAACAGATGGAAACTAACCAAAGAGAAGCAACCTAGAACTAAGGAGAAATTTCTGACAGAACAATTAATCAGTGGAACAACCTGCCTCCAGAAGCTCTGAATGCTCCAACACTGGAAGTTTTAAGAAGAGACTGGACAGCCATTTGTCTGAAATGATATAGGGTTTCCTGCCTGAGCAGGGGGTTGGACTAGATGACCTCCAAAGTTCCTTCCAACTTTATTATTATTAACTCCCTAGTTGGTTTAATACCAGTCACTTTCAGCCTGATCTATCTGCCAAGGTTGTTGTAAAGATAAAAGAATTAAATGAGGGGAGTTCCTCATGAGCTACTGGAAAAGTGGGAGATGAATGAATGAGTTTGTGACAGACTTTAGAACATCCAAGCCAGATTTTACAAGCAGTATGGCCTCTCTTCCAGGGTTGTCCCCAAAGGCCCTATTGTGAAGCTTGCAGAACTGTAAAGTAAATGGATTAGTTCTTGAATGGCCTGGAGCTAGTAGATCAACCAGCTGACTGTGAACCTGAGTTCTGTGCTGAAATGCTTTGGAAATTGGTAAGAGAAGGCTTCTTGCCACTACAATACCCTAGCTATTCAGTGTCATACAGTCAGTGTCATACAGTCAACTTACAACAGTTTGTTTAGTAACCATTTGAAATTACAACAGCACTGAAAAAAAAGTGATTGTGACTGTTTTTCCACACTTAGGACCATTGCAGCATCCCCATGGTCACATGATCAAAATTCAGATGCTTGGCAATTGACTCATAGTTATGACGGTTGTAGTGTCCCAGGGTCATGTGATCACTTTTTGACAAGTCCACGGAGAAGCCAGATTTACTTAACCATGTTACTAACAGTTTCAGTGATTCACTTAACAACTGTGGCAAGAAAGGTCATAAAATGAAGCAAAACTCACTTAACAAATGTCTTGTTTAGCAACAGAAATTTGGGGCTCAAATTTGGTTGTAAGTCAACAACTAGCCACTTCCTAATAGAAATCTATTAATGTCCCAGCAAGAATGTGTTTTGAAAATCTTAGCCATTGGAAAAATCAGATGATCAAATGAATCCAGTGGTTGTTATCTTTCCCCCTTGATTGTACCCAAATGCCTCTGCACACAATAGGCTGACAAGATTTGCTAGTGCAGGTATAAAGTATTAGAGCTCACCATCCTAATGATTAGAAGCAACTGCCTCATAAGGACAAACAGCCAGACCTTTGAATGGAGGAGCCTCTGTTTTAGATTACCCTGAGAAGTTCTTTTCTGCCACTACTGGCTAGTATAAGCCACATAAAAAACAAGATCTGTGGCTGGGTGCTCTTGGTTCTTTTCCCTCCCCATTTTCTCAGAAAACACATTTTGGTATTGTGTGGACAAAAGCTTTCAGGTTGGAAAATAGAGATAAAAAATTCAGATAAAGTAGGTTTGTGCATCTTTTCTCATATCAAGAGCCACATTTTCCTTGGGGCCTGCTTCAAAAATCAGACAAGGCTGGGAAAAACAGATGGTAGAACCAGTTAGGTGAAGAGATGAAGGTGTTGAGCTGAGACATGGGATCTGGATTCAAGCCAGCGGTGTACTGGAACTGGACTTGTACCAGCTTGCAAGAACCACTGGTTAAATTTTCAGGAACAGTCAGAGCAGAGCTGAGCTGAGCTGAGCTGTGACACATAGGATGCTGATTTGGCAGACTACTGATTCAAGCCCACCTTCCAGTCAGATAGCACTTTGTGACTTTGATCAGCCATTTTTTTCAGCCCAATCCACTCTACAGGAAAAAAAATTAAAAGGAAGGAGTACTGTATATGCCAGCTTCAGCTCCTGGAGGAAAATTGGGATATACATCTAACAAATATGATTAAAACTTGATTTGATTTTTGGTGCCAAAATGATTGCCTGTCACCTTAAAGATTACAATTCTGTAACAGTTTTTGAAAGGCTTCTGGGGACTGTTTCAAGGTTTTCAGGGCTGCATGTGGCTTTGAGGCCACAAATTGTGCACAGTCATTTGAACTAATGTAATAATTTAAATTTGAGAAAATGAAAATTTCAGAACACTCCTGTTACAATTTTCAATGTAACAATTTTATTGGTAAGATATCAGTTATTATCACCTTCACTTGTTTTTTTTAATAACCACAAACATACAGGACATCATAAACAGAGGTGCCAAAAGGTCAGGGTTTCTTCTATTAGTTGGCAGGAAGAGATACACTGAAGAGGATAAAATGAGTGGAGCTATGAATTCACTGAATATTTGGGGATCCTGTATGGAGCAAGCCACTCTTTCATTGCCACAAATGTGTATTAGTGTGTATATAGAGTTCTATATTATACATCTTTATATATAATATATATACTATACACGGGCAGTAATGCAATAGATTAAGGATAGACTCCTGAGTCAATGATTCTGGGACAAAGATTGTCAGAACTGTATGTATTGCATGATGTAAAATGAACTGGTCTATGATTTCTTATTCTCTTCCAGCTTAATTTCATAAGATCACCCAAAGTAGTCATTCTTTGCATCTGAAATCATGCTTGGGAATGTACAGAGATCTAGCAGCATCAAATACCAAGAACCACTGTTCACTATTATTGAAAAAACTAGGAAAAAATACAAAGGTTGGAGAAATGTTAATTTGGTTTCAATAGTCAATAAATAATTGGACTGGATATCCATTCTCTCTTAATTGTACATCATAATGATACTGGTCTGCAGATGAGATATGTATTCAAGCACTTCCCTATTTGCTGTGCATAAAAAAATTACAAGCCAACCTTTACGAACCATTAACCTAGTACAGCTCTATAGCAATATAAGGCAACTCACCAAACCTTCAATAAACAACCTACATTGTTGCCTAGAGATCCTCTTCATCTAGATGATGGATATTTACTTTGGGGGCTTTCAACTTCACCAGATAGACCAGATTAGGAAATCAATTCCACAGGAAGGATAAAATTACTTTTATTGTGGTTGGCCATAATAACAGAATGTTGCAAATCTGATTGTACTGTATCTCCTGTTCCTTACACTCCAGTGAATTAGAGAGGTGTCTGTCTGAACCAAATAGTATTTACTGTACATTTGAGATGCGCTTTACCCCTCATTGTTTTGGTAATGGAGCTTGCACATGTCTATCAAGGTCATCTTTCTTACTCTCTGCAGTGGCTCAGAAGTTGTGCAGAGATAAACAAAGATATCATTAAACGAGATCCCTATATGCTGATCAATTGAATTGTCAACATTTATGTGCTTGCATTCCTCTGAACAATTACAATCTGAGGATAACAACTGATACTTCAGAAATATAATGTAATGTTTCAGTGCCAATATTTTATTTCCAAACTGTTTCACATTAGGTCAAGCAGCCAAATTATATTAGAATTGCCCCACAAGGAATACATTAGTGTAAAGGGCATATGTATGATTCTAAAGAGGCATAGCCATCTGGCAGGAAGCTAAGTTAAGTGACAACTCATTGAGCATGACCTCTATGCATAAGTGTTGTTTATCCATTCCTCACGATTTTTTGGAAACTGAGCTAAACACTGAGGTAATTCAATTGCTTTATAATCCAGTATGCAGTGGCTGTAATCTTGTGTCTGAAATTAATGCAAAGATTCCAGTGGTATATCAAAGAGCAATCATCACAATGCTGAATTCATTATAACAGTGAGCTCTTACTGGGGGGGAGGAAATATATGTTGTTATGCCCCAGTTGTGTGAATTGTTCTTGTTATTGGGCCTTTGTCAGGAAGGATTATTATTTATTTTATCGTTATTGGCTGCCTGGAGTTGCATTTTTGCAAATTGGGCAATCATATAAATATTTAAATAAATAAATAAATAATATACGGTAGCTTCTGAGTAGCCAAAATGTCTCTCTTGATGATGGACTTTTTCTACAGAAAGCCCTTTTATTGTTCAAATAAAAGGCTTGTATCATGTAGTAGTCAGTGTTACTGTTTGGGTATGTTCAATTAAAAAAAATAATGGAAGTAAGCCAGACTGACATCTGATGTTCTTTGAATGAAACAGAAAATGTTTCAAAAGAGAACACAAAGAGAGAATCATTATTGAACTTTTTGTAAGAAGGAAGATTTAAGACAGACATTGGCCATGCCCAGATTAAGAGCATATTTTAAAGTGAAAGATTCAATACCCTTCATTGCAATCCTGGTTTGCAGGGTGACAGAAATGAGCTAACATTTTCACCATGGTCAGGTGTGCCCCTTTTCTAGACTTTGTAATAGATACTGAATGACTGGGGTAAGCTCCTATTTGGATTTAAAATGATATCCATATGGGAAAGGAAAAGTGGCATGAATCAATGTCCATTACTACAAGAATTTAGAGTTCAGTTTGTAAATAGATAGCTTAATGTAGCTTGGCTCATCCCACAAACCAAAACCCAGTTTTCATTTTTCTAGGTGAACTTGACATGAATGCATGCAAGTGACATTCACAAAACTCTGCAAATCTATACCACTAGATTTTTCTAGCCTCCCATCCAATTCTATAATCAAGCATCCCTGGCCTGATTTAATAAGAACCCCCCTCCCCTTCCTATACGCTTAAATATAAGGCTACTCCAATAACAGAAGCTTTGAAAGAGAATTTCCCCCTCTCACTCAATCCTATACAATATTGCTTTCACCTGGAACCATAAGAGGACCAAGTTCTTCTTTGTGCTTCAGTGCAACAGATGATCACACCCTCTTAATGCTGCCTAGTAGCCACACCCACTTCACAGTGTATTTCCGGAGAAAAATAGACAATAGAAAACATACTGAAGTCACTCTACATACAAAACCATCATACAAGCCACACACAGGGGGGAGACCAAACACCACAGTGTGTGTTTCTTTTCATTTCATTGCTTTCTGCTTTCAAAGCCTGAACTAATTATATGGAGGGTTTTTTTCCTCTTTGTACAGGAACTGCCTGTTTATACTAGCTTGACTCTAATAAAAGCAGAGAAGGTCAAAAGCTGCAACATCCACTGGGGAAAGAGATCAATATCTGCAGTAAGGCAGGTGTACAGTAATGTTGGGATTCAAGTCCTACACTTTTGTGTGCTCACTGACTTTCCATATAAAAAATTGCAATACTGTGTCTGCCATCTTGCAGATTTCGACACCTCCCCTTGTGGATGCCCATAGCCAAATGGCATTTCAAATGCCGCATTGCCTTATTTTATACAGTGGCCCTGCTGAGGTACTGCTGTGATATTGGGAAGGCTATCTGTAGATATATCAGAATAAGGGCAATGTGGGAGCATAATCTGAACTACAGCTCCTATCATTCACAGCCATCATGACAAAGATCCATCTTTGGCTCCCTGACATACAATTAAGAAAATAATATTTTGGAAATTAGCTAAGTATTGAGACTGAATACTGCATCTTCACTTTTGGCTTAGTGTTTTGTATTGCTTAGCAACAGGCTTATTTCACTAAATGTTGTGATCTTTGTAAACTTAAGGCAAACCTCTTAAATGAAAATAATTATATGATTTCCTTTAGAGTAAAAGCTTGCTGGCCAGTAAAAGCTTGCTGAATGAAGAAGTGGTTAAGGAGAGATGGGCAGATAGTTGTACTAGCAACTTGCAAATCAATAACTTTAGAGTTACTTTGGGTAACATACCACTATGAGTAGATGAGCCTTTTTACAAATGTTTTTGGTATACATCTTAGTGGTGTTTTCTTAGCTCTGACCACTGTACATGAGCTTAAAAGATAGAATAATTCTGTTTTGCTACACTCTATACAAAAGGTTAATGTTTTCTTATAAGACAGTATCATTTAATACAATGAATGTGGTTGCCAGATGACATTTGGTCCTAGCACTTTACTTTAGAAATTCATGAATAAATATTTTTAAATTTACAGTCTTCTAGACACAATTCTCCGGAGCAAGTCCCATTGAACTAGATGGAGTTTACTTCTGAATAATGCTTTGTCTGATTAGACTTGTATTTTATTCCTTATTTATCCTATTAATTGTTCAAATAATGAATACATGAATAGTATACATATATTATGTATCCATCACATTATTCCCTCTTGGGTTAATCAACATAATGAACAGTGCAGTAAAGAAGCAAGAAATAGTATACTGAAGAAAGTTAAGGCATGAGATAAGAAAAAGAAACTTCTCTCCTTAGGAGAATTTGAGTTTCATTCAACATGACTTTCTTGGTCTTCCCCTTCCTCTCAATATGCTCTTTCTTCATGTACTTAGTCTGCAAATCAATTTTCATTCATTCTTTTTATATGACCAAACCATTTCAATATACTTCTTTTGTACAGTACTGATGACTCACTTTTATATTCAGTCCACATTCCTTTTCTACCTGCTTTACCTCAAACATTTCTTAAGTAATTCATTTCCATTGCATTGAAGTTACTTTTATGTTTCTCCTGACATCTCGAACACTGTGTTCCATATAGTGGGCAGGAGTATCATCTTATTCAGAGCTATTTTTGCTTATTTTTATATCCATTCCTCATTAGAGTTCCTCTACTCACTATAATTTTATCAGCAGTGGCATTTCTTCAACTGGAAATCAGCTTTATTTAAAAAAAATCTGGAAAAAAAGATTGTGCACTGATACAGATAGTTTTGTTCAGTGGTACTTGAATTACATCTCAATAAGTTCATAGGATTTTCCAAACCCATTATTGGCACTCATTTTTTCCATCTGAATTGTGATTTGCACAATATAATCCTGATGACAATCTATTACCGGTAACTATGTGTCTGAATCTGAGGGAGATTTCATGGCCATTATCCTGGATTTAAAATGCTACATCATTCACTGACAATTCATAATTTGCACACTTGTCTCCATAAACCATTTTTGGAGGAAAAAAATAATTGAATGAAATTATCAGTCATTTAGTTAGCTTAAATTTTGTGGATTGTGACTGGGCCTCTTCTCATATACTGTTTTTGTCAACTAAAGTCAGTTCATCAGATTTGGTTTAGCTTACTATAGAATGAACAGATGTGATTCTGTTGTAAAGAGCTGCCTCATATTCAGAAACAAATGTAATCATTATGTGTCTCATTTTTCAGCCTGTACTTAACATTTTGCATTTTGAACTTTATCAGAGAATCATGTAATACTTCTCAATTCTCCAAAAAGCCTATCACAAATGATCAAACATTGGAACACTTTGTGAAGGAAACCACATATTATCAACCTGAAGCGGGTAAAATGTAAATAAAAAAATAATAGAGTGCACAAAACAAAACATTTTAGTAATTTCATCAAAATCAAGGCCAGGATATTTTTAAAGCTTCCTATTGCCAAATCCAATCTGGCTTATTGTAGATTCTGCATCCAACATTTTATGATTCCATTCTCATCTGCCTGAGATCTTTTTCTGTTTGCCATTTCTATATTTTTCCTTGCTGCTATGTACATCGTTCACTTTGCTTGCCCACTTTCACTATTCATTTATAGGATGGTCTACTCATTTGTCCAGTTCTTATTCTCATTTCTCAGCACTTACATTTACGCACTGGCATCTAAACTAGCATTCATCCATTTATCCAGTGCTTATGCTTTCCACCAACACCATCTTGAGAATTTTTCGCTCTGAAAGACAGCTTGAGCTTCCTAGACAAAGAATCTATCACTGCAACATAAACAATAAAGTGTTTTTCGATGAACAATCTAGTTTTGATGGAGAATTCCAGAGGACGAGGAGGCATTAGGTTTTCTGTAAAGAAGAAATTAAAAAAAGAGAACCTAGAAGGCCAGAACTGGCCAAGAGTCACCTGTTGCTCTGGTCTGCTTTGCACGCTGACTTCTTGGTGGCAGAAGAGAGTGGGCAGAGGGAAGGGGAAATAGGAGGTCTCCAACAGTTTTCAGTAGTCTTGTGTTTGGTATCCCTGTGTCCCAGCATCAAAAGCATCTGCGGAAGGGGGCTGCTGGTAGGTCCCCATGCTATCTGTGGTATCCTCGTTTGTGTAGGGTGCATAAGGCACGCCGGCCTCCTGGCTTGGATCTGTGTAGTCCTGGGAGAAGAGTGCTGAATCTGCTCCGAGTTGGTATCGCTGGAATGCCAGAAAAGACTGGCCCACCTTTAAGGGAAGATATGGCAGCATGGGGGAGATTTTGGAAAATGGGATGAAAAAAAAAACATGGGAAGGAAAAAGAGAGAAACATACCAGGAAGAAACAAATAGAAGCTGTGTTAATAATGTTAGTGCATAAGACATAAATTAGGGAATGTGACATGTTGCAATTACTTAACTGCATGTAAATATACATTCTAAAGATCAGATGAACTGGCACAGTTCACCAAGACAGCAAGTTCAAGAAAGAAACTGCAGAGTAAGCAAGGGAAGAACAAACTTTCAGGAGAGATCCTATGGCTTACAGTATTTACTTGGATAAAAGGCTGGCGGAAATAAAGCTACAGTAGAAGATATGGTTCTGGAGTGGGGATTTTTTTTAGCATATCGAAACCCAATAAGGCCAGGTCAAGTATGTTGAAGGCTTTAGTCAGACCTCTTTCATATTCAATACTTCATATTCATATACCTGGGACAGGTAACAGAAGGATCACAGAAGGTTGTGCAGCCAAGCTTTTCAATGCTGACTGGGGTGGAGGTAGAGTCTGAAACAACATTAGCTTTCCAGGGACATCTCATACCCATGCAACTCCACCTCTATTAGTTCTGGAGAACTATGGAAGCTGGCAGGTAGGAATAAAGGCAAACCATATTTTTAAGATTAATCAAAGTAGTGGTTATAAGAGGTCCAGCCCCATCACAAATCTCTTATTTGTGAAATAGTCTTTAGTAACAGTGCTGAAGAAACAGTGTGGGAAACCATGGCAGTTTCTAAACTGCCTTCTGATACCATCAACATGTAGGTTATGCAACAGAAGAGCAGGTTGTGGCAATATGAGGGTGAGCAGGAGTAGAAAATACATTTTGATTATGAACCTGTTGTTATTAGTGTTAAAGTTGTTAACCATGTCAACAAAAAAGGCACAATGGTGTTATCTAGCATTGAGGGTGGAGAAAGAAGCAGAAGAAAAGAAATTGAATAGGACATACTCTACTTTCAACTATTTGCAGCTTCAAAAGAAGACAACCTCAAATATTTCCTTTAATAGCTCAATGTTTCTAGAATTCTCCTTCTTTCCCAAAACATCCCATTTTATTTGCTGGACCTGCCCTCTTTCATCCTGTTTTCTTCCTTCCTTCCTTCCTTTAAGCATCAGAAATATTTGCTCTAAATATTTTCTCTCTGATAAGCTAATTTTTATGCACCCAAGGCTAGGGGAGAATTGGTGAAGAATTAGGAAACAGTGTGTTGTATTCTTCCTGAAAAGTAATTTCTCCAAGTCTGCGAAAGGCCAGAAAAGTCAGGAAGCTCTGTAGGGAAAGAATAGGATGGACAAAGGGCATTAGACATGATGTGAATTCAAGGCCTTATAGAAATTAAAGATAACATGGGAAAAACAGCTGAATGTCTAACTTCCATTTAGCAGAAGAGAAATCTAGATGGGCCGTGTTTATAATAAAAGACTTCATGTGACAGTAAATTTCTTCAGTAGATAGCAGATTTTTTTTCTATTTGGACCAGAAAAGGACTCAATCCATCGCAAGAATAAAAGCTGTTAATGATGGGGTCCTTGGTGCTCTGTGAGCTTGGTGGTACTCTGAGCCACCAAGGGCCCCACAGTTCAACCCCTGAGCTACAAATATTCTCTTCTGTCAATGCTGCCAATGATAAAAACAATAAGCAGCACTGGGAGGGGTAACCTCGTCCCTCCGGGACAGCATCTCCAGATAAAACCATTGAGATTTGCCAACAAAATGGCCAGATTTAAGTAGCAGAATTTCAGAATGCTTGGGAAGATTAGTGAGGAGGAAGGGAGAAGTTTGTTCTCCCAAGCTTTCCATTCCCACCCTAATCCCCACAAAAAAAAATAATTGATGGAAATTAGACGACAGAATCACTGTGCAGCCTCCAACACCCTCCAAAAGGCTGGGAAGAAAAGCCATAGCCCCTAATTTAAGATAGGCAGTCTAACATTTAAACAGCAGCTGGAAGAAAACAAATAATACCAAAACCCAGGGGAAAGGAAAAAAAGATTTCTTAAAATGCCAAAGAACTCCTGAAGCTTTGTTTCTAAGTAAAATATAAATCAACTCTATCAACAAATATAGGAATTTCTTTTAGATAAAATCATACTCTGTATTAATCTGGGTTGTTCTCAGCCTTTCATTTCTTGTTTTTCTTTTGGAGTTCTCTTCCAAAGGAATATTTAAAATTTGGTTATATTTAAATATAGATAAAAATAAGCAGTAGAGAATTCTTCTCTATGAAAAGCAATAATCATGTATGGCAATAGCTGTCTTGCAGCTCTTCCAAATTCTCACCATGTGAGAATATATAAGGCAAATAAGCCATATGACATTATATCTCTAAAATGTAATATAAGTCTGTGTCAGGCTAGTAATAAGTGTAAATTGTAATCCATCCTGCACTTTTTGTTCCTTCCATCATCAGAAGCAGAATATTCTGTTTTGTAATCTATCAGTCAAACAGTGGGTAATTTTAAATTTAAAGACATTACATGAATATTTATAGATGGACAAAATATGATATATTCTCATTCACACTGTAGAAATGACAAGTCTAGTTTGCTTTAATTATTATACCTAACTATTCCAGCAATGATTTTAATTATCTAAAAATACATTGCTTCTCATATTTATAGAGAAAAAATGTAGTGCTAAATCAACGAATTAGCTACTGTATCATCAAATTTGGTGATTTTCTTTTTTTAAAAGATGCCAGTGTCAAATGAAATAAGCATTCTTTTTTAGGGGTTTTCTTAAGTAGCCATTGAGAACCTTTAAAATGTTTTGAAACTGGCAGTTAAAATCATGAAAGGAAATCCAGCTTATGTGAAGAGCACGAGGTTGGAGAAGGCTGTCGTGGAACCATTTTGCATTACAAAGCTTAATTTGAAAAACAAATTGGATTAGATGCGTCAGAGGCCTCTTCTAGTTTGTTGAGATATAGAGCTGTAAAAGTCAACTGAGTCGGATTAAGATGGTTTCTTTTGCTGCAACATCATCTCCAGTAGGGAAGTAAAGGTTGGACTGAAAACAGGTACAGTATGTAAGCACCAATGTTTTTGACCAACTAACTCTTTTTTTTCTCTATAGTCAAGCCATTGATTATTCAGATCATATAAGCAGATTTTTTAAGACTAAAGACAGAGGAGCGCTCCCTTATACAAATGGAAACTGGAGCAATAAGATGCTTATAAATGACTCCCCTCATTACTAGACAAGGCCCAAACCTGTATAACTTACCCAAGTGAAGATGGAGAAAAAAGAGAAGGCAATGGCTGCTCGGGCAGCATCTGATCCTTCATTCAGTAGACTATCCTCTTCCTTCGAAACACGCCATTGGTCAGCCAAGAAACAAAACCCGACAAACCAGAGAAATGCCCAAAAGCCTATAAGAGATCACCATCAAAAAAAGAGGGAAAGGGAAGGATGAAGGACTACACACCCATGAATTTTAATTCTCACATTTGTTCAGAAATTTTTCCCTATAATATCTCAAAGTGATTTGCAGATTGGGATAAATTACAGTTCTTTATAGCATGGAATTGCAAGTTAAATCCAAACCTATTATTCCCAAACCTTACATTTTCCAAATTTGAGGGATTGAAAGAATTTGAAAAAGGGAACTAGCGATTAAAAGGCCCTTTTCCCTCTCTGTTATCCATCCCTGATAAATATGACAGCAGTCATTTTAGCATCTTTCATTTGGCCAGGATGCAATTCTAGCTGTGAAAATATAATAAGTCCTTGTTGCTCTCCATACAGGTAGTCTTTGATTTACAACCATTCATTTAGCAACCATTTGAAGTTACAATGGCACTGGAAAAAGTGACTTATGACCAATCCTTGTGCTTACAACCATTGCAGCATTCCTATAATCACAGGATCAAAATTTGGGTGCTTGGCAATTAGCATGTTTTTATGACAGTTGCAGCATCCCAGGTCATGTGATTGCCATTTACATCCTTCCTGGCGGGCTTCCAACAAGGAAAGTCAATAGGGAAGTTAATGACCATGTGATTCACTTAAGAACCATGGCAAAAAGATTATAAAGTTGGGTGTGACTCACTTAACAATTCTGGCTGCAATTGTCAAGTTCTACACACATAAACACATACCAATTTCCTATCCTGGTATTCTTTTTCCTCTTTTATGCTTTGCAAGCCAGCAGCAATAGCATCTTTTTTGTTTCAATTTGTAAGGAATGTAGCTGTATTGCCGAGGACATTTTAGGAAAAGGAGGAAGAAGGGAGAGCATACATATTCATTTACTCAGCAAATCAAGTTTGTTGGGTTAACACTCAGTTCTGCCTTAAGTAAGGAACATGCTGTGGAATGGCAAGGCTTAGTCATCAAGAATAAGTTCATTTCCATTGTACAAACGGTATCTCCTGGCCTCACAACAGTGGAATCATTTGCTCATTTATTCTTGAATTGCAGCAATTCTGCAGAACTAAAGCGATACAATGGAACACAGGCTCAGCTGAGAAGGAGGACAGATGTAGAAAGAGCCCTATCTTGAAGGAAATGCTGGATTGTTGAAGGTCTCAATAGTCTAAATAATCCAAAGGAATTTCTATAAACAGTTCTGTATGGTAGGCAGAGTTATTATTTCTGCAGTTTTAAATGGGGTGAGGGTGGGAGAGAACAATGTGATTTTGGCCTCATTCTGAGTCAAAAGCAGAACTAAGAGTTAAACTGACTCTGACTGGCTTGAAACACAGCTTTTTAATTACTGTTTTGCTTTTAAGTAATCATGGCTAAGAGAACTGGAGTAATAACTCCAAAATGTATTTCCTTTCTTCCATTATTTATGTAGCATTTCCATGCCAGTAAGCTAACTAGCTCTGCTATAGAATTTGCTAACATAGAAGAAACAAAGCAAAACAAACAAAAATGAGCAGGCATTAAGCAAATATCCCCTGGCTGTTCTTTTCTATCCTGACATCATTAACAGATGCATCTACTGTAAATATTATACCTTAATGGATTTATAATTAAATTGAACCATCTTACAGAGCCGTTTGGTGTAGTGGCTAAAACAGCAGTCTAGAAACTAGGAGACTGTGAGTTCTAATTTCGCTTTAGGTACAAAGCTTCCTCGGTGACTTTGAACTAGTCACTTTTTCTCAGTCCTAGGAAGCAGGCAATGACAAATCACTTCTGAAAAACCCTGTCAACAAAACTGCAAGGATTTGTGCAGGCAATCTCCAAGAAGTGGGCATGATTGAACGGAAGGAGAAAAAAACCCTATCGTAAGGATGAAAAGGATGGCTTCCTCTAAGGATGGCAAGAGAAACAATCTGCACCATCTATGGAAGAGAATGCATGCCTGATGCGCTAGTATAGCAATGTGCTTTATTTTCTCTGAAAGCACAAGGGCATTTTTTTTTCAAATTTGTAAGAGTGCCGGCTTCCAAGATTGTCAGTCAAACTGTGAGAGGGACCTCGGAGTCCTAGTGGACAATCACTTAAATATGAGCCAGCAGTTTGTTGCAGCTGCCAAAAAAGCCAACACAGTGCTAGGCTGCATTAACAGAGGGATAGAATCAAGATCACGTGAAGTATTAATACCACTTTACAATGCCTTGGTAAGGCCACACTTGGAATACTGCATCCAGTTTTGGTCACCACGATGTAAAAAAGATGTTGAGACTCTAGAAAGAGTACAGAGATGATTAGAGGATTGGAGGCTAAAGCATATAAGGAAAGGTTGATGGAATTGGGTATGTCTAGTTTAATGAAGAGAAGGACGAGGGGGGAAATGATAGCAGTATTCCAATATCTCAGGGGCTGCCACAAAGAAGAGGGAGTCAAGCTATTTTCCAAAGTGCCTGAAGGCAGGACAAAAAGCAACGGGTGGAAACTAATCAAGGAGAGAAGCAACCTAGAATTAAGGAGAAACTTCCTGACAGTTAGAACAATTAACCAGTGGAACAACCTGCCTTCAGAAGTGGTGAATGCTCCAACACTGGAAGTTTTTAAGAAGAGACTGGACAGCCATTTGTCTGAAATGGTATAGGGTTTCCTGCCTGAGCAGGGGGTTGGACTAGATGACCTCCAAGGTCCCTTCCAACTTTATTATTATTATTATTATTATTATTATTATTATTATTATTATTATTATTATTA